ATGTATCATCATTATGTATCATCATCATGTATCATGTATCATGTACAATCATCATCGTCCTCAAAATCAGTGCCGCCAAAGAAGAAAAGATTTCCTTAAACAGCTAGCAACAAAGTAGTCAAATTCGAGTATGTTGCAATAAAAATCTTTTTCGCCGTCGAAATTTTGAATGTAAACYCCAAAAAAAGTATGAAAAGAAGTGGCTAAAATCTGCTAAGGAAATCTTATATGTTAGTGGCAAATAGTCTACATTACTATATATGTGAACCCCTCATATCTTGAAATGGTCTATTTTAAAGTGATATAGCTAATTTCTTACCTAGAGGAACATTTGCTACTGTTATGTCCGTAAGCATGGTGTCATTCATCTTCGTAACTTGAGTGACGGCGCCTCCAGTAGGAGTGTACGACGCTTTGACAAAATCAAGATAGGTTGAGTAGCATTTGACCACCRCATTCTTTGCATCGGCAGTTGACGTGTTGGTGTGATTACATTCAAGATTGAAGGAGAGTGTGTCATCGATAGAGAATCTAGTGGCAGCTGTGTCGTTTTGAGGAGTCAGTGCACAGGCCAGCGTTGGCTCAATCTAAAAAGAGATGATAGAAATGTGTTGTCGTTAAATGTAACATTCTAGAAGACTACGATGTCGTTAAAGGGTATTGGATATCGCAGAAACCCTTGAATGGGATGATTGGCCTTCAAACTTTAATTTGAATTGCTGGGTAAATGAATGGATGGGTGAGTGGAAGGCATGGCATGGCATGCGATGAATGGATGGATAAAATGAATGTATGGGTGAGTGAGTTGATGGAATGGGATGGGAAGAATGGCTGAGTGATGGTAAATGAATGGATGGGTGAGTGGAAGGCATGGCATGGCATGCGATGAATGGATGGATAAAATGAATGTATGGGTGAGTGAGTTGATGGAATGGGATGGGAAGAATGGCTGAGTGATGGTAAATGAATGGATGGGTGAGTGAGTTGAAGGGATGGCATGGGATGGGGTGAATGAGTGAATGAATGATGGAATGAATGGGTGAGTGAATGAGTGAGTGAGTTGAAGGGGTGGCATGGTATGGGGTAAATGGCTGGATAAATGAATGGATGGGTGAGTGAGTTGAAGGGATGGCATGGGATGGGATGGGATGGGATGAATGGCTGGATAAATGAATGTATGGCTGATTGGAAGGGATGGGATGCATGGATGGATTCTTTGCGCGCCTATTGTCAAGTTACATTRAAAGAAATGTACCTTTTTCATGTAAATGGCTTGTTGTGCCACATGCAGCATATTGGGTCCACTGCTTAGACCAGCTCCATTCCAATGCTTTGAACCATTTGCAAGCAAAGGATGATCCGTCAGATTGACCTTCCACTGTATTTCGATCTTATTGTTGACATCCGACTCAGCAGCCACCTTCGAAGATAAAACAATAAGGAACACTAGTTTATTAAAAGCTCATTTATTACTTCAAATATTAACAGAAACATCTTACCGTAAGGTTCTTGAAATCCAACGTAGCGCTGTCGAAAAAGGTAAGATCATTGGAGCTTTTAGTGTATTGCGGAACTGGATCAACGTTGCCACCAGGACCAGCGCCAATATTTGAGCCTTTGGCACTGATTTTTACATCTTGGATAGGCATGAAAGAGAAGTCGTTGATGGCAGAAGTCACTTCCACAAAGAGCGGGAAATCCAGATGCGGCATGTCGATGATCATACGGTATTGCAAACTGTCTTCAATTTCAAACACTACAATACAAAAGATGTAAATAAAAATCAATATATTGTAATCAAAAAGTAGGACATCTTGACATACAGTACGTGTGAAGACAATCCATTCGGGGCATCAAACTCTTAAGGTAGTAAACTTACAACAAGATGCGCAAAGTGTCTCATACTAAAAAATCGCAGTACTAGATCTAGAGAACAGATACTAAAGGTGTACAATAGAAAAGAATATGAATAACAATATTTAGTGCTATATACTATAAAAGGACCTTTAGACATCTTGTTGTGTTAGTAGTCATCGAAGAATAGACCTCATCGGCTCGGGCGTAATGTTTTCCCATTTTAGACCACGTGTCATTCTCGCAAGAACGTTTTACTTGAGTGAGAAACGCGGAAGCTTAGATACATAAGTTTTGCCGTCAAAAGTACTGACAATGTTGTTAGGGGCAACAGCATCAAGTCTTATTACGTCAACACAATTCAATCCAATTACAGTTTGTAGTTTGTATAGTTTTCATTTTGTTCCGTTTTATACATGATCTATAAAAACACTAYATTTCTTTGCTAAGTGTTTGAATAACGTTATTGATATTTACACCAGTACAAGTTTTTCGCTTTTAGACTTGTCAGTGTAATAACCTTATGCCATTGCCACTAACAGCATTGTCAGTACTTGTGAAGGCAAGACTTATCTATCATAGCTTTTTCGTATCTCACTCAAATGACAATCGAGGTATCAATACTCACATGATTTTGAGGGTTCGGTTATTCGAGTAAGCGTGACCTTTGGGAAGACTGCATAGAGTGAAGGGCTAGAAGACACTGGGCTTATTTTGTAGTTGGTCGATGCCCTGGTACCAGTTGCTTCACAGACCATATAGAGGTTGGCCAATGGATGGATGGTTGACTTGACAGTTGTTTTAAAGATTACACTCGAAACACCGGCTTGAGGTAAAGAAATCACATTGAATGTGATTTCGCCATTTGAAACTGTATGCCCGCTGCTAGGCATACCCTTGCTGGCTACGTATTCAGACACGTTGAGAAATGTCGAGCTGCATTTGACTTGCAGGTCCGTGTCAGGTGCGAAGGTACTTGCGGACTGATTGTGTGACAAAGTTACATTAAAAGTAATACTATCCCCTGGTTTATAGAAAGTATTGTTTTGAACTTCAGGTTTGACGACGATTACTCCCGATGGAGAGGCAATCGGTGTACTACGCCTAACAATATGATGGTCTGCAGATCTTCGGTGTCTTTGTTTTAAGGCCGCAACATCAATACGTAAGATAGCAGTGTCCTTCTGCTGGTTGAATCCCTGCCCTTCGTTTTCTGCGCTCACGGTCAGGTCAAAAGAAGTACCATCGTGTGCTGTAAGACTCTTCGACACCCTTATCTTCCCAGAATGCTTTTCGATGCTAAAGAAGTCGTCTTCGTTGCCTCTAGTGATACTGTATACGATACTGGCACAAGGACAGGGAACCTCTTTGGCACACCTTTTTCTGTCTTTATCAAATGCACCAACAGTAAGAACGATGGCACCAACTTCACTATTGGCTGTTATCTGGGCAGTATAGGACTTCTGTTCAAACTGTGGTGGGTTGTCATTAGCTGCAAGAAAGCAAGCACACTCACACATAAGTACTGACGAACAATATGATTGAATAATGGTATTTGCATTAGAGTGTAAACCATACATCCATGAAATAGTACAAACTAATTAGTACCGACAAAATTGGGTCAATGAAAACAAATAAAATAGATGAGTTTAGTGCTATTTAGTTTTTGTTTGTTTGTTTGTTTG